TTTATGGTGGATATAATAATTATCAATATAATAAATAAGAATCTATTATTATTTGAAACTAAAACCATTTAATAAATTGAGTATCATTTTCTACCTTTTAAGAAATTATGGAGACATGGCTATGATTTAAATTGATTTATACAATTTAAAAATGCAAATTTGAAATCCGATTATATTTATAACTATAAGATGAAGATGTAAATTACTTTAAATTTAATTCTTTATCTTATCATATCTATTACTTAATTAATTTTGATTAATTTTCATTAATTTTCTGATGATGTTCATTCTTCAGATGATAACCCTATCTTAAGGGTAATATTCTTTATCGAATCAAGTTTTAAGCAAATCAACATTAATTGATTACCAAATGGTTGAATAATTTGAAGTCGACTAATCAGATTAGAATTGCCTAACCTTTGGAATTTGGTCAAAATATAATCCATTAGGTAATAAAAAATTGAATGGCGCTTATGGACCATTTGACAGCAACTGCTTTCAAATACTAAACTCTCTTGATTATGCTACCTCAAGTCTCAATTTTATTTAATATGATTGCGTCTACGATACCACAAAAGAAATCAAAAAATTCATCTAAATAGGATTGAGTTAGAGACTGATTAGTTTATATTTTCAATACAAGTAGAACCTTCTGAATATGAAGATTTCTGGTATTTTTTTACCAATATATTTTGATTTTTAATTGGAAATACTGAATTTTATTAAGAAATAAAAAATTGTGAATGTGTTGCAGATGTAGATATTGAAAGAGCAATGTTCATTTACTATTTTTAAATAAATAGATTATTGTTTTGCAGAATATCAATTGCAATTCATACACACTCGTTGGATGACTATAGATATCAGAAATTCATCAATCTTCTGAAGAATTTATTTATTATTCATGAAAATATGTGCAAATGCAGATGGAATGCAAAATGAAAATCTAGCAACATTTCAGTTGTTTTATCAGATTTCAAATGCTAAAAATAAAATAATAATTACAACTTATAAATACAACTTTCCTTCTGTTACATAAGACTTTGAAAATAATCCTTATATGAAGCTTAAAATACTTAATCATATGAAACTTCGATTGATGTTAAATAATTCCATAATTATTAATTAAAATTCACTTATGGAAACATTTAATAAAAACAATAAGATTATTTAGATGTAATTGTTCGAGATATACTATTTATCAATTGTATTTAAGATTTAAAATAAGACAAATGTCATTAAAGCTGTTAAGAATGTGATGGCCCCACTAAGTATCATTGCTTAACTTGTTCTGAAGAATAAAATAGAATATATATTCCAGAATTTAAATAATGTGCTTGTACATACGGCACAATTGATTATAATAATGAATGCATAGATTATATGGATTAAAAACTATAGTTAAATCTTTAGTTTAATGTCAAATAAACAAAAAATTTA